TTTTCTTTAATTTTTAAAATTACTATAAAAGGAAATTTTTAAGAAAAATGTTGTGTACGGGAAAGAGTTTTTTTTCACTTTTATTAAATCTATTTGATTTTTTAAGCCCTCTTACAATATATAAGAAAATTTTAAAAATTCTAAAAATTTCTTAAGTTTTAATTAAATTCAAATTGGATAATAATGTCATATATTTATATTATTTTATTTTTTTACTACTTTTACAATATCAATGGACTTATTAATTATATTTATTAATATTATATAAATTTTAATTATAAAATTTTTTTTAAATATTATTATTATAAAATCAATAATTTATTAATAAGTTTTTAGAAAAATGAATTAAATAAATCATTTAAATAAAAGTATTAATAATTTTTAATTTAGATTTTATATTGTTATAATAATAAAAATTGACTTTTAATTATATAAAATTTAATTTTTTAAATAGTTAAAAAAAATTATATTATTATATAATATCGTAAACAAAAAGAATGACATTATTAATAAAAAAATTTAAGTTAATAATATTGAATTTTAATTTATTTTGGAATTGATTGCAAAAACAATAATAATCTATTTTTTAAATTGTAAAAAAAAAAAAATTAAATTAAAGATATAATAAATTTAATATTATTATTTAAATATAATTAATATTTAATTTAAATAATTAATTTTATTAGAAAAATACATGTTATATAAATAAATAATTAAAATAATTAATTTTTACTTAAATTGAAAAAATATGCTATATAAATATTTTTATAATTAAATTTAAAAGTAGAAATTAAATTAACAATGATTTATTATATAAATTTATATTATACGAATATATATACAATTTTTGTCTTCATTCATTATATTTAAAAATCATATCATATTAAAAATCAAAATTAAAAATCACAATAGGATTTTATATACAAATCTTTTAAAAATTTAAAAAATCGATTTTTTTTTTGAAATAATAAATTTGAAAGTTTTAACTTTTTTAAAAAAATATTTATAATTAAAATATCAAATTTTATAACTTTATAAATTTAAATACTAATGCAAAGGTAAATTTTTTAATGACAAAAATTTATTACTAATTATTGGAAAAACAAATTTTTAAAAATAAGTTTCAAAAACTTTGGCAACATACTGGATGACAATAATTAATGCATATAATTTTAAAATCATAAATATAACCTAAATATACTATATTTAATTTTTTAATATTGCAATCTTAAAATACTAGTTTAATTGACAAAAATAAATTATAAATATAAAATACTTAGAGAAATATCTTTGCATACCTATTTTCCCCTTATCTTTATAGTTGCCTCTATAAAACCAAAGTATTAAGAATATTAGTCACAAGGAAAGCATTAAATGGAGATTTGTGAAACTCACGGGAAAAGAATACTCAGTGCATTTAGACATTTCGATATTTCCATCACCAGTTTAACAATGTCTGATATGATTAATTTTGCGAAGTTAAATATAATACTGGATAATATTTAATAGTTTTATCTTATATGACGGTAAGATCGCATTAATATTTAAATAAATCTGTATTATTCATTGAAATGGATATTGGCATCAATATTCTATCTTGATAATTACTGTATTGTGATAACGAGGGAAATAAATATAATGTTAATTTAGAAACTTGTACAACCTATTACTATATGTATTATGTAGGGTTGGGATTACGTCAATCTGAATTCAGTCAATCATTTTTTTGAATTTATAAAGATGAGTAATGTTATAATCGATTCTTCGTCCGAGTCTGTTAAAAGAGAAGTACATATTTATGTAGGAGATCATGAATGTTGGTACTCAAGTTTTTGTGGAAAATGCACTTATAAGTTTTTTCAGGAACAACCTTCGAATTGGACAAGTGGTAATTCGGAAATTGAAAAAATAATTCGAGAATCTCATGAAAGTGAATGGAATATAGAGAGGACTCTAGAATGGATACCATTTGAACAATTTTATGATATAAGAGAGATAGACAAAGGTGCATTCAGCATAATGTATTTAGCATATTGGATGGATGGACCGTTGTTTATGAAAGCTTTTCCGGATGAGGTTTCTTTAAAAAAAATGAAAAAAGATTTAGAATATTTTATCGAGAAGGTCCTATAAAAGTAATATTGAAAAAGCTTAAAAAATCACAAGATATTTCGGTAGAATTCATTAACGAAGTAAGCATTATTATCCAATTTTTTATAATTTTTTAAAAGAATGATATTATTAATTTTTTATTAACTAAAATATAGTTAAAAGTTCACCATAAACTTTATTGTGAAGATTTAAATTCTCAGGTTATTCGTCTATTTGGAATATCTATAGATCCTAGGGATGGAGAATTTTATATGGTTTTACAATATTGTGAGCATGGAAACATGCGACGGTATTTAAAATTAAATTCCAATAGTCGAAATTTATTATGGATGAATATAACTCGTTATATCCAGAATATTTTTGATAGTTTAAGTTATATACACAGGGAGGGTTCACTCACAATGACTTACATGGCGGCAATTTGTTGTTTACTAATCCTGGCAATGGATTTGACCTAAAATTCGCTGATCTTGGGCTAAGTGGACCAGCAAATGAAACAGATGAGGGCAAAAAAAGCAATGTATATGGAGTGATATCATATGTTGCGCCAGAAGTCTTAAAGGGGCAGGCATATACTCAAGCGGCTGATATATACAGTATGGGAATTATTATGTGGGAATTCACATCTGGATATCCACCTTATCACAATACACCTCATGATTTGGGTCTTATTCTTAAAATTGTTAACGGACATCGACCAGAAATTGTTGAAGGAACACCAAAATTGTGGGTAATGTTAATGGAGCTTTGTTGGAACGCGGACGTTTTCAAAAGGCCCACTGCTAAACAAATGTATGGAGTTTTGAATAATGTACGTAATATTGTTAGGAATAGTGTAATAAAAACAAGAGATGATGTATTAAAAGAAAGCTTAGAGTTAAAAGACCTTTGTGGATACTCAACTCTTGATGAATTTGCGGACGATGTATGGGAATTTAAACTCAAGTGGTTTGATATAAGCTGTCGAGATGCAAATCATCAAACGGAAATGCACCCAAAGGCAATCTATACAAGTCAGCTAATATCTGATCTTACAAAAAACGTTCAATGGGTGTCAAATGAATTAGATCGAGGTATAGTACTGTAATCATATAATTAACATTATATACTTTATAATATAATTTTATATACAGTATATTGAATTTTTTTTATAGATAATAAATATCACTCCGTTCAAGACAGGTTAAAAATCGATTTCTAGGTTTTTTTTTTCCTTGAAGAAAAACTGTATTAAGTCAATATTTTAATATGGAATCTCGAATTTGTGTTTTATAAACAGAATTATCATGACGGAAATTAAGATATTTGAAAAAGTTAATAGTTTATCTTTTAAAAATCAACATTTTATTATATCAAACATTTTGTTCTATCAATAGCGTTTACTTGATATGTGTTTTATATTATGATGCATATGGAGTACTGTATTGTAAAGCTAGCATATATTTTTTAAATAAAGAAAACGGATTTTTCTGTTATTACACTTACTGTATAAGACACTATAATTGACCCATTTTTATAAGTATCCCTCTCGAGAAAATATGTTTGAAAATTTTTTTAATACAAACGCTTTGTTCATTATAATTTGAAAGTAAGGCAAGGTTGAAGCAATTTATAATATGCGTACATATTATTCGAAATATATTTTTATTACATTGAAACTGGCATTTGAATAATATAAATATATGAATGTCATGAGAAAAATGCAATTTTTTTCAAGTCTAAAATATGCATAAAATAATGGAGTTCTTATTTTAATATATAAAAATATTTGATTATAAATTAAAAAAAACCACTCATATAATTAATAATAAGAACAATTAAAAAAATCATAATAAAAATCAAGTTAAATAGGATTATTCTGATAAACACTATTATTATTTTAAAAATTAAAATTCTTTTATTTATTAAAAAGAAATAATTTCCAAATTTCATTTTAAAAAACAAGATTATAGAATCCAGTATTATTTGTTAAATATTTATAAAAAATTCTAGATATTTATTTTATTTTTAAAATTCAAAAAAAAAAATAAGTTGTTCTATTATAATCTTAAATAAAATAATTGCAAAAATAAAAAAAATTTTTCTATAAAGTTTTATTAATGCATTACAAACTATTGATTTGAAATACTTTTTTTTATATTTAAAAAAATTTTTTTGATAAATTTTTACGGAATTTTTATATATACTTATAAGGTATTTATTTATTTAAAAATATTTTTATAATTTTGTAATTAGCATTAGGCAATTGCTTCAAAGCTTAAATTTTTTATACAAAAAAATTACAAAAATAAGAAATTTTCTACTTTAATACTTATTTTTAAGCTTTTAAATTGATTTGTAATTATTTTATTAGAATTATTTGATATTTAAATAAAAATTCAAGTGATCCTACAATAATTATATAATTATATAAAATTTAAATTGTCAATAGTTCTTATATTTTATGATTTATTTTAAAGTTTAAAATCCTAATTTAAAATAAATTATTGATATATTACCGGTATAATTATTAAATATTTTTCAAATTAAATTGATTTAATATTTTTATAGTGATAAATACTTTAAAATTTATAATTAGTGATTATTTTATTAATAAGTTATCAATAAATTTAAACCTATTTTAGACTATTTTTTTCGGATAACAGTGTATTGTATTGTAATAATTGTCAAGTTTAATTACGTGTAAGGCGAGCACGGAATAGTGCCAGGATTAGGTAGTTAGCAGCAAACTTTCGTAATTTCTTTCTGTAAAAAAAATAAATTTCGAGAGATTTTATTAACCTAAATGATCTGATTGAAGTCTTTATTTTTGTTACGCTCAGCACAAATTATTGGTAGAGAACAAAGATTCAACGTGTCGTGAATAACTGCCTATATCAATGGAAACATAGCTCAAGAAAATATCCTGTGAAAATGTAACTTGTTTTCATATTATATGCAATTTCTCTCGTTGCGATTATAAGCATAAAATGCCCAGTTTTGGATAACACGACCGTAACAATATAAAAGTATGAATTGCTTCACCACGTTATAAAAATATTTGACAAAAACGATAAATTTAAGTTAAATTTATTTTAAGCCTATATTATTTTTTAAGATTGTAAGAAGATTCGAGAATTTCCAAACCGTGTAAAAATTTGAAAAAACGAAACAAACAAAGCGCAATACAGTGTGTACAGTCGTTTCGTAAAGTAACACACATAATAAATTATTTAGTATACAGTAGCACGTACCACTGCATAAACAAGATACAGCACAACAACTGATGATCACAAACTAAATACAGTACAATTCTTTCAATTAGAAAATTCTAAATACAACGTAAAGATGAATGACAATGAAAAATTATTTCAATGTGCTATTACCGAATACGAACTAAATAACATTCCTATAAGAAAATTTAAAAACAAAAAAAGGATTGGAAGAGGAGCGTTCGGCTATGTATTTAAATGCAATATCGACGGAGATTCTAGAATGGTGGCAATAAAAGAAATATCTGTTAGCAATGAAAACGACAGTACATCTATTAAGAACTTCCTTAATGAGGTTTTGATCTTAGAAATAATCATTTGTTTTGACATGATTATTATATATATAACATTTTTTTTTTTTTTTATATATAGTTAAAATTACATAGCAAGGCTAAGAACCGTCGTATTATTGAGTTATTTGGAATGAGTTATGGTTAGAAGTTTGTTTTTAATGAACAAATTATTTTCAAATTATAGTTAATGTTAACAATTTTCGATTACAAAGATTCAAATGAAGATTTATGTTACCTCGTGATGGAACTTGCCGAGTGTCATTTAAGAGAATACTTATCTAATAAAAAGGATGGACTTCCATGGAATAAAAAAATAGAACTTGCGATTCAATTAACAGAAGGACTGTCTTATATTCATAATACGATGAATGTAGCACACCGTGATTTGGTATTGTAAAATATTTCTGTAAATTCTAAAGTCTATAACTTGAAATTATAAAATAATTTTATTTGTTTATCATATTATTTCACTATGTATTTAGCACACTAAAAATGTCTTAATTTGGCAAGGAAACGTAAAAATAGCGGACTTTGGACTGTCGAAAAACCTTAACAGTGCAACTTCAAGTAAAAATAATGTTTTTGGAGTTATTCCCTTCATCGATCCTCAAAAATTAGAAGATTCTTGTTATAAGCTGAATACAAAATCCGATATCTACGGTCTTGGTGTGATACTCTGGGAAATTTCAAGTTGTTTCCCACCATTTTATCAACAAGATGATGGCATTTCCATTATTAAAAACATAATACAAAATGTACGCGAAGCCCCTATTATTGGGACACCTTTGTCTTTTATTCAACTTTATTCTAAATGCTGGGATGCGTTACCTTCGCTTCGTCCTACTACGGATCAAATTCTTAATAAATTAAATTCCTTATCTCTCGAGCCAATATATCATGGGACTAACTACAATAATAATATGGTGTCAAATACAAGCGGTATAAATATAATTATTGATTAAATATTGGAAGTTGCCTTTCGTACTAATTATTTCTTTCTTTTACTTAACCAAATCAGATTATTTCACAGATAATTTTGAAGAATCCTTAGATGTACGTAAAAGTAATGTTTAATAGCTTCCGGTGTATTTTATTTATAACGTTTCATTCTTTATACAGGACAGTATAAGTAGCGGTTTATCAGAATATCATGTAACGTAAGTATACAGTGAAAAATAGGTTTATAATTATTCTTATACGATAATACTTATCTGATAAACTGTTAAATCGACAGGACGTGAGTTCAAAGATTTACAAGTTCTGGCTCATTAATATTTATTCCTAATAATATATCATAGCAAGTAATCTATGATTTATTAGTTCATACTCATTACAACATTATAGGAAGTAAGTCGAAAATTTAAGTTTTTGTACGCACTGATACCTTATTCCTAAACAACCCCTTAATTAATATTTTAATTTAACAACATAATAGCGAGTAAGTCTAAAGTTTATAATTTTATGTTCATTAGTTTCTATATCCAACTAACTCTGCTCCAAGTTTTATAGCTGATTACTCGTCCAAGCCTGTTAAAAAAGAGGAACTGCGCATTGCAGTAGATCATTATTGTGAAAAGGATTGCAATATGCGCATTCGTAAATTTTTTCAGGAACAGCATTCGCATTGGACATGCGGTAATTTAGAAATCGATAAAATGATTCGAGAATTTCAGGAAGGAGTATGGAGTACAGATCTCATTCTCGAATGGATACCCTTTGAACAATTTTACGATATAAAAAAAGTAAACGAAAGTATGTTTAGCATTACGTATTCTGCATATTGGAGAGACGGACCATTGCTTATGAAAGATTTACCAGAAAATGAAAGAATATTTAAAATATTTTATCGGAAAGGTATCATAAAAGTTGCATTGAAAAAATTTAAATACCAAAATACTTCCACAGATTATATTAAGGATTTTATTAAGGAGGTAAGCACTTGCAACCTAACTATTTAAATTTTTCTTTAAAAACTAACAAAAAAGACTTTTCTTTTTCAATAAATATAGATAAGAATTTACTATAAATTTTATTGTAAAGATATTCATAATATTGTTCGTCTATTTGGAATATCTAAAGATAATACGACTGGACATTTTTACATTGTTTTAGAATATTGTGAACATGGAGACATGCGACAGTATTTAAAATTAAATTCTAATAGTCAAAGTTTAGAGTGGAGGTGGATACTTTTATATATAAAGCGTGTTTTTGAGAGTTTAAGTTATATACACAAGGAAGGATTCATTCAAAATAGCTTGTACAGTGGCAGTTTATTATTTACTAATCGCAGTAATGGATTGGTACTAAAAATCACCCATTCTAGATTGAGTATATCTGCAAATGAAACAAGTAAGAGTAAAAAAATCAATGGATACGGAGAATTACCTTATGTTGCGCCAGAAGTCTTCAATGGGCAAGCGTATACTTCAGCGACTGATATATATAGCATGGGAATTATTATGTGGGAATTCACATCTGGATATCCACCTTATCACGATACACCTCACGAGGGTTTGAGTCTTATTCTTAAAGTTATTAATGGACTTCGACCAAAAATTGTTAAAGGAACACCGAAATTGTGGGTAAAGTTAATGGAGCTTTGCTGGAACGCGGACGTTATCAAAAGGCCCACCGCTGAACAAATGAGAAGAATTTTAGATAAGGTATTCGATATCGTTAATAATGAAGTAATAAAAACAAGAGAGGATATAATAAATTTAAGTGACCTTTGTGGATACTCATCAATTGATGAATTTGCGCAAGATGTATGGGAAATTAAATTCAAATGGCGTGATATAAGCTGTCAAGTAAGAAATCAACATGAAAATGCACCCATAGGCAATTTATTCAATGTCAACTATTATTGATCTTACAAAAAAGGTTCAATGGAGTCAAAGGAATCAGCTATAAAACTTGGAGCAGAGTTAGTTGGATATAGAAACTAATG